ACGTTTCGGTGCGCCACTCACTCTGAATGTCAGATTTGATCATGTTATCGCGTCTGGTAGCATTATCCTAACTGGCGTCACCCCCCTTCGGTCATGGGAGACCGCGAACACGGGTGAGGACGTCGCTCCATGAGCTAAAGTTAGGTTGTCCTTGAGTAGTTTTAACTGTTTGCGCAGCTGAAAGAGGACTTTTAGGTCTGGATCGGAATCCAGTTTACCTTTCGATGGGGTGTATTTGTCTGGGTCAGTCAGATACAGTATCATCGAGTTAATTGCAGGATCATCCAACTTCTGAAGTTGGATGATGTCTGGGTCAGGTGAAAATGACTTTTCATATTTTAAAAGAACTTGGCGAGTGTTGTCTCCTTCTTCACCAGATGTCAGAGTGTCGGCTTGAGCGACCACCTGTTCAATCTGTGATGAGACTGATGAGGGTTCTTGCTCCATGGGGAGCTCCAACGAATCCTTTTCTGAGTCGTCGGACCTGTCTATGGGTAAGACACCATAGATTTGAGGTCCTTGGTCGACGTCATTGGTTGAGAAAAGAGCGATGGCCTGTGATGGTTTCGTGAAACATACTGGCCCAGCTTCTTGACTCGGTACCAGGTTATCTGGGAGTCCTCCCAGAACTGGGATGCCTAGTTCAAAATCATGAAAATCAGTTTCTGAGTGTTCAGCTTGCGATGACTTTTCATCGTTTGTGTGTGAGTTTATCCCCCCTTCGTCCGATGAGGGGTTGTTGGAGGCAGCAACAGCAATGTCTTGGTGTGTTTCACCGACATCTGTAATGTTGTCATTCGCGCCTTCAGATTTAGTAGCGATCAGATCACTACATTGTGCTCCTGGTTGGATTCCCATTTCAGCGTTTTTCAAAGTTTTTACAAACCTTTGTAGTTTCTCTGTCTCCTCCGAGCTCAGAGGTGTAGGGCTTTGCTCCTGGGACCTTTGTGATTTTATCGCCTCGGTTCGGTTCGTCCGAGGTGGGGGAGGGTTAGGTACGTCTTTTGGGGGTTCCTCTTCGGATTTCCCCTGATAATATGGGTCCTCTTGTATCCCATATCTATGCGTCCTATGCATATCCCATTTACGATCATCACGCTCATCCTCTGAAAGAGGAGCCTTTTTGTCCCAGCGTGCACCTTCATTACGTGGTTTGTCAGTTTGAAAATACTGCCTTTTCTCGCCTGTTTTAGGAGGAGGTGTCAACGCACTCCGTCCTTCCATTTCTAGGCAGTGGGGTTTAACCTTTACACCAGGAAACACATCTATGGGCGTCTTATCATGAGAGCATGCCTCGGACACATTCACTGCACACTGTCGCACGTTCGGTGGAAGAGACCTGTTCAGGTCTGTTCCTACCGCCCGAGATGAGGGTGGATTAAGAGCAGGAGGTGCAACAACGTCTTTCTGAGGTGTTTGTGGGTGACCTGAACTCTGTCCACGGTCTTCTCTGAGTTCCAGACAAACTCGCCCCACGTCAGAAATCTTGTTTGTTGCTGCTCTGAGCTTCTCCTCACAAGCCTTAAGGCGTTCCTGTGATGTCTGACATTCACCTTGTAAATGCCGACAATGATGGAGCAATACCGCCCTTTCCGCTTTGCAATCCTCAAGTTGTGTTTTAAGCACATCTATTTCACCTTTGCAGCGGGAAACTTGTGACATTTTCTCGTCGTGATCCCGTCTTAATGCAAAGTATTCACTGGACCACAGCTCTTTAGCATCCCTGGCTTCAGATAGTGATGCATTAAGTAACTGTATTTTGCTATTCAGCGAATCAATTTCTGCATTTGCATATTGCCGTGATTGAAACATCTGTTCAGAATGTTTTCTTGTGAGGACCTCGTGTTCACTTTTAAATTGAAGGAAGTGTTCTTCAATCTTCTGAACCACCTCTTTTTCACTGTATAACCTTAGTGCAAGGTCATCAGCTTTCCTAACAACTGCATAGAATGATTTTTTCAGCAAAATTGCAATTCTAGCCAGCTTTTCATAACTTGACAATGTAATTTCTGTAGAGGTCACAACTTCTGCAACCTCCATCAGATCGTCCAACAACTCTTTTGGGTTCATGCAGTCCGCCCGTCTGCCATATGGATGTAAGGAAGCTGTCAGCAGCGCTAACGCATCTTCCAATCTGTCCTTCATTCCATAAGGATCAAAGTCTTTTTCCCTGTCACCTGTCATGGTTATTCACTGTTCAGCACTTTTTCTGGATAAAACAATTGCCAGCTTCAGATATTTTTACAGGTAAATAATTGTATTCAAATGTCAATGAGTTTCACACTATTTTAGCTTTGGGTTTACACAAAAGTACTGTTATGTCACTTATTCAAATGTGAGCACCTGTCTCAGGTTTTACCCCAATTCATGAATATTTAAGTAAATGCTTCCATGCAGTGTTACTTGTATGTGCTTATTTTTCAACAGATACTAGATTACCAAGCGCTTTTTAGTGTATTTTACTCTAAAGCACTGAATTTTTATAAACCTGCAATTTTTCTTAGTAGTCTCACAGCACATCAGTTTAAAAATGTTTTTAAACCGTTTACTTACAGAAATTCACTATTTTAAACAGTTACTCATCAACCCAGGTGGGTGAAAAGAGAAAAGAAAATTGATGATGAGGAATAATCAGTCTTTTTTCAGAAAAACTGTACTCCTTTCTCCTGCCAATCTTCTATTT